CCCGTGAGAAATTGATTAAGAAAGAAATCGCTGGAGAGTCTATTCTCCTTGACCATTGGGTAGAAGATATAGGTATGTCTCCCATTTGTTGTGGTTGACCACCTGTCCTGCCAAATTGCGTTGCTTACCTGCCTCAGTCTGTAATTGATTTGTGGTTTTGAAAGAGGATAATAGTGATCAACCCCGCCAAGAAGAGTGCCTTGTTTGGCAAGTGCATCAGCTTCCTCGTTGCCAATGTCCCCAGAATGTGCCTTTACCCAGTTGAGACAGCATGTTTTATATTTGACCATGTTCTTAATTTCTTCCACAAGTGGGTCATTCGGATTTGGGTTTTCTAGCGACTGCAGCGAGGATTTAGAATCAGAGAATAAATTAAATGCATTAATATTTTCAGCGTTTGCCCATGTGATTGCAAGTTTGATGGCAGTGAGTTCGGCGGGGTATACACTTGCATCGTTATTAAGTCTAGCACAGTGTTGATAAATGGTGTTGTTATTAAGCTTCACCAAGAAACCACAGCCCACTCTATCCTCGGTCAACCCTGTATCCGAATTTGTTATTTGTCTTCTACTGCCGTCTGTATAGATTTCATAACCCACACCCCTCGGTGAGCTGTAGCCCCTTTCTATCATCTTGAGATCCAAGGGATTATGGTGTACTGGGGTATCTATCGGTAAGGCATCTAGTTCTTTGATTTGGAAGTCGCTATCGAAAATGATTTGCTTATCTCGCGTCCACCGATGTTTCTTTATAGTACAAGTCTGTCTAATTTTTAGGTCGATGGGGGGAATACCAGCAAGAATTTGGAGAGCCTCTGTGCTGGTGGTGGAGTAGCATTTGGTGATATTTAGAAGGGGGATGCGCTGTATGGAGTTCAACTTCTTATTAATTTTCACGTTATTTTTATACCATACAGAGGCTCCGTAAGTGATTTTTTTCTCAATAGCTCGGAGATAAATTTGTTTAAGAATGTTTGGGGACAAGCCCCAGGTGGCTCTACTGAACTGTTTCATTTTGTTGTAAAAGATGTCGACATCGGACTTTAACTGCTCGAGATGTGGCATCCAGCTCAACCGAGGGTCAAAAATCACGCCAAGATATTTAAGTGTTTTTACTGGTTTAATATAGGCAGTATTTGTGCCAGCTAATTCAATTTAAACAGTTAAGACAAAAAACGTATAACCGTAACGTATTGCATCACAAATTGAAGTATATTATCATCTTCCTTCCACTTCCTACTTAGCAAAGAAGAGGAGCCTCTTATTATTCACTCGAGTAAAGTTTCAAAACTCTTGGGTAGGACCGCACTATTAAATTGCATAACTGTAGATTGTAGAGAGAAAACTACCGCCGATTTTAAATCAGCGACTCTAAAATATATAAGATCCGTATAAAAACATTTATGCAATAGAAAAAAAACTGCCCCCACTGTTACCTGACTTTTTTCTTTCCACAGGCTCAGAGTCCTGAACGAGTTAAGTTAAACTGAACATAACTGGCTAAGAAACTCTGGTAGTGAAGTTTCTAACAGATCAATCAAAAGCTCACAGCTTTATTTTTCAATTTTTTTTAAAAAAAATAATCTGTTATTGAATCTCTGCCAAGGAAATCTGTTCTCAAAACATTAAATTAGAATGGTTAGTTTTAACATTTTGAAGTTAGTTTCATAACTAAATACAAAAAACACGAAGAAAATTAAGAAAAACGGATATACGGAAATTTTACGGATATAATCGTTTGGGCTGATGAAAAGATTATATCTTTTATTTTCCGGATTTTTAAAAAAAGAAATTTGTCCTTTTTTTCGGATTTTTTTCTAGATTTTTTGTTATTATTATTTTCCTATTTTTCCGCTTTTTTCATTGTTCTGCAATTCTTTCCTTGTGTTATATACTTTTCGAACTAGTGGTTCACAAGTAAATAAAATAAACCAATTATATTCGTAAAAAAAAAAAATTTAGACATATATTTGCTACCATTTTCTAATTTTCAATAGATTTCATATTAAATCGTTCTTTCATTAATTGGTTTACCTTCATAGTGGTCTGATCAAACAACCTACAATAAACAGTGTGGAGGCTTTCAGTTATAGCAAGCGTTGGTTAAGCTAAACTGAAAAAAATTGGCTAAAAAAAATATGGTTGGGAAGTTTCTAATCGATCAATCCAACACTCATAGCTTTATCTTTCAGTTTATTAAAAAAAATGTATTTTTGAATCTCTACCAAAGATTTCTGTTCTCAAAATATTAAATTAGAAAGGTTAGTTTTCAAGTCTCTTTTCAAAAACTTAACTTTTAGATGTTTAGAAACTTAGTAAAATGATTTTGTTCATGGTGGCAAACTAATATATGAAAAGCTTACATAAAATACCTCTTTGTTCCACTTAGCTCACGCGAGGTTAGATAAATCTATTTCCGATTTTCACTCAGTGACACGAAAATATATAAGATCTATTTAAAAACCTCATGCAATCGAAAACAAAATAGATTTTGGTCCCCAGTCTTAGCTGACATATTTTTTCTGGTGATGGTTACTAATGCTGGTGAACATCCAAAAATATAATGGTTCATGATGGTTATTGATGTTTACCATCGAGATTATGTTGGTCCATTAATGGAAAACCATCAAAAATTTTGACTTTGATGCTCTTATAGAAAAAAAACGCTTAACAAGATAACTTTTCTTGAAACATTGATGGTTTGAAAAATCGCACCCCGGTCGCCCCTTCTGTCTCAATATTTCCACATCACAACCAACTAAAAATCTTTTAGCTCGCACTTTGCCACTTATATACGCTAAATGTTGAGTCGCCTGCCAGGAGTGAGTGGTGACTTAACCAGCTCCGTACTTTTAGTGCTGCAGTTCACTTCATATCACATAGCGTGACCCTTCTTTTAAGGATTTTTCTTCATAATGTGTGTTGACTCATTTTATCTCCAAAGCCTTGTAATATGGAACTTAACCCGGAGGACAAGGGAACTCCTGGATCAAACTTTGCAATAAAATATTTTGCAATAAGACATTTTGATAAAAACTAACCAGCATTTTCGTTACATGGAGAGGAAAATCAGGAAGACCTACTATTTTTAATCCATCCACAAGGGGAATTCAATAGTCGATCCGTCACCCACTGAAAATAATTGACAACAGGACTGTGGATTTGTATGATCCAAGAGCGAATTTCGTATGAAGCAGCCATCGCTGGATATCGAACATGGGTCACCTCACTAGGAGACGAGCACTCGAACTCTTTAGACACCGTGGCTTCATTCATTTTGCCTTAAACTAATTTAGTGCTATGGCCTTTACACCTGGATTTCTTTGGATTTATTTTAAAATATGTTACAGTGTTCAGCATCTTTACTGAACAACGTTTAGAACTTTCGTCACTTCTCTGCAGATAGCAGCTTTATCCTATTTAGCTCTTCAATATCTCAGGTTTTAAACTTGATTTAAGTATGGACGAATGATATAGAGCATTCGCTCTTATTTGCCAACTACCTCCAGAACTATCCAAAAATAAATAAATAAAAGTCGTAATTCAGTATCCCATCTTTAAAACTTCGATTCTCTTGCACTTTAATTTTGATGCTAATTTTTAAGGAGCAGTTCATTTCGTTTAAAAGTCATGCACCTACTAGCTAAAACCACAACAAGAATGTATTTAATAATCATGTAGTAAAAAGTCTTTGAAACTCAAAAAGAAAAAAGATATTCTTTTAAGTTATCAAAAAAAAGATAGAAAGTGTGAGAGTAAGAACAAAAATTCAATTTTTCAAATAAGAAAAAAAGAAGAATAACACAACAAAAGGATAATTGAACTAAAAAAATAAATGCTAATGTATTTAATGCGACTTGCCGATGTCTTGGTGAAATCAAGCGATTTTAAGGGAGATGGTGCGTTTCTTGTCTTTCAGTGATCCCATCTATGACCAATTATATGACTTCAGCCACACGCACGTCAGAGCTTGTTTTAGGGGGCGGACCCATTCATATATAATTCAACCACATATCGTAATTTTAATCTGAACCAGAGAACGATCAATCTTCAATTCAGTACCCCCTGATTTGCTATGGGAGCATGGAGGACTTCGTTATCCGACAGATTTAACGTCCACCAGTCCCCACTTATCTACACGGGGAGTCTTCCACCCTCGGGGTTCGAACTCACGATCACTTGGTCATGGCTCCAACACCCTACCTACCGGGCTCTCCCGGCCTGAAAAAAAATGAGTAATATTCTTAAGGGGAATGACGTAAAAATAAATAAAACAAAACTAACTAATAAATTAATGAAACAAAATATGTAACGTAATAAGTAACATGTTAATATGCTGCACGTTATATGTAATATGTTATTAAATAACGTAATATGTTACGTGAACGTAAATAAAATCAAAAAGTTATGTCTTTTCTTTTTTCATTATTTACAAAAGCAAGGAAGAATTTCAAAATTCTTCTTATGCTAGATTACATAAAAAGTAACATAGAGCATAAAGTATAAAGAGAGTGCGATAAAAAGTCGGAAGCGGTCATATATCTCGAGAAATGTACATCTCTTAACAAAAAAAGTTGTATTTTAGATTTGCTTTACGGCTGAAAAAAGTACGCTTCCAGAAATGCCAACTTACTCTGGACAGTGGGTACATATTTCTGATTGGTAGTCTTTTAATGTATTATTTTTGGCTTAGAAAATTCGATTTACAGAATAAATAATAATCGCCAATATTTCTAAATATTTCAAAGGCTTATTTGATACACCACTTAGATACAATTAAGGGTAATCGATCATTTAAATATTTTTATTTATATTATTCGAACTTTCGGTAATGTACATGGATAGATTATCACTTGTTAATCGGATTTTGTTTTCTCTCTCAAAGCAGGGATGTCGTGTTATAGAATTTCATTAAAGCATCAAATTTTTATAGCTTTGTTTAGCATTTTAAAAAGTTGGTTTGAATCTGGAGTAGTTGGCATCTCTGCACTTGAGGTAGAAAATTGGATTATGTTTTGCACCTAAAAAAATGATCAATAAAATTTAATTTTAATATAGTTACGTCTTATGAAATCAACTTCAAATATAGCTCAACAATACTTTAAATTGAAATTCGGTGAAATTAATCACTCCTCAAGTCTACATAATTGCTTGAAGTGTAGAAAAAAAAAGTAAACTGTCAACTGAAAACACACCTATCTAAGCTGGTTGTTTTTGTGTAGATTTCTATCAACCTCAAAACAGCTTCAAGTGTTCCGCGCTTTCATCTGCAAGGTAAACAATTTTTAACATCATTTTAAAGAATGTATTTTTACATGGCAAAATACGAAATTTGAGCAAAATCAGCCGAATAGTTCCTTAGAAATCGTATTTTTTAAAAATACGATTTCTCACTAACTATTCGACCGATTTCGCTTAAATTTTGCCATTTAAAATTACATTCATTCACATGATGTAACAATTTTGTAATTTTCGATGGAAAATGTTTTCGACCGATATTAAATAAGACGTAATATATAGGCACTAAAATTTATTATTTTTATGAAATTATCTGTGGCTAAGCGAATTTTCTAATTCCGCGCAAAAAGTTTTTCAATTCACTTAAAAAATGCGAAATACGCAAAAAAGTAAAATTAACATGAAAGGGTTCAAACTTTGGCTCTCTCTCCTGACCATATTGGGAGCATATTTTTCAGATTGCGGCTACCCCAATATCTTGGGGGTCAGAAATCCAAATCCATCCAACAAAAAGTAAGTTTATTCTGAAAAGATTTCTTTTCCTGTCTGATTTCGTTCTTTAAAATATCATCTGCATTAACTAATTAGCTTATTTGAGTTCACCCCTTTAAAACATTCAGATTGACTCCTAGAGCCTGAGGATCCAATCATTAGATCACATGGGAAAATTGCATAAATTAACAAAGAAATTTATTTAGTAAATAAATTGAGCCATGGATTTGCACATGGAAAAGTTCAAAAAATTAATAAAGAAATTTTTTAGTAAATAACTTTAG